AAACCCCATCTTCCCTCTGCTCTCCCATTTCCACCTGGGCAGAGTCGGAATCTGTACGCATTGAACCCTTTGACCCCGGGTTCGGCCACTCGCTTGGCCGACTTTTCCTATCGATACCTATCAGAACCTTACTACGGATGCGCCACATTTGAAATCCCTGGCCCTCCTAACCTTGTGACCCAGTGCTATTCAGTTTATTCTCCATTTTAGGATCCAAGGTCGAGGACGATCTGTGGTGGCAGACTGTATATTGCCAGCTAGTGTGGTTTTGTCTATTTTCAAGACAACTCCAAAGCAAATGGCAGACGCTGCACAGGTTTATTTTTGCTTAGCTGCGTTCAGCTAGGGGCGAAATCGCTTATTTTTCTATTTTCAGTCCAAGCTGCAGTCGGGTTCTGATAGAGCTGTGTGTATTGGCGGCAACAATGCTCATGCCGCTAATGTGGTCGCGGCAATATTTTTGGCAACAGGACAGGTCATTTTTTGAGTTTTTTTTTTCTTTTGGCAGGGTTTTAAGCAATCTTTGTTATACTACTAGCACAGCCGTCGGGATACGTCAGCTATAGAGATCGATTTTGCAGGATGCTGCCCAGGTTGTATCGTCATCGATGTGCTCAACACGAATGAATGTGACAGACGATGGGGACTTGTACGTCAGTTGCACCATGCCATGTGTTGAAGTTGGCACTGTGGGAGGTGGAACAATTTTGCGGCCTCAAAACGAGTGCCTTCAGGTACAGTGGTAATCATTAAAGGCGCTCTTCGGCTTGGAGGGGGCGTTTTGCACTTCCGCTAGTTCTTCTTGTCCATTCATGTTAGATAGCAGGTCTAGGGTACAGCATCATTATGTGAAACATAGGGGGAGGGTCGTACTTTTTCTCTGGGAGGGTAGATGCCTTTGAGAGGAATTTGTTCCGTTGGTTTTCCGGTGGTTTGGGTTTTTGCTTGTATTTTTTCCTTTTTCATTGTGCACTACTACCCCCCCCCCCCGCACCCCGGGAACCCACATTTAGGTGGTTGGGGGAGTTCCTTGTGACACCTTCCCTCGGGGGGGGGGGGGAAGGGTGCCTACCCACCACCACCGCACACATCACGATGCTGCACCCTGAGCAGGTCTCACATTGGTCGAACCTGCAAACTCCTGAAAATTATTCGAAGCGATCCACCTTGATCACAGAAATTTACAAGTCTTCTCCAGGCGCATGTATTAGGTCATCCCATTCAAAAGTGCCGTGACATATAGAGGAATGGCAGAAAAGCAAAGGGGATAGGGAAGCGGGCTACTATACCATTTGGAGGCTAGTACCTTTAGCTGTGTATCTGTGAAATTTGGCGAACCTATCCACAGAAGAGGTTTCGGGAAATTGAAAAGAAGCTCAAGGGGTAAATAACAGCGCCCGATTTTCAAATCAGACGTCATAAGAGGGAAGTGCGCTGCTCAAATTCGACCGGCGCCGGACCAGTAGTTGTGTGTAAGGGTGTTCTCGAAATAAAAGGTGGAAGGTTTGGTTCAGGAGCCCGAAGAAGGAAGAAAGGAAAAAAAATTTGTTGTGGATGGTCCCATAATGTTCATCCGTACAAAAAAAACAGTGATGAATGTCAAGCGCTGATGTCTGAACCTTTTCTCGAGCTTTCCCGCGATCTGGACACTCCCAGCTGCAGCGGTGCCCAGTTATCCGATAAACTGAGAATGGTCAAGAAGGGTGTGCGCCTGGGTACCTGATTTTCTTGTGAAGCATGAAAGCAGTACCTGTTCTGTCCCTCTAGCAGTAATGTTCTCAGCATGAGATGTCATTCACGGCTGCGAAAACACACCCCGGCCTTAGATGAAATATGTTTGCTTGGCCTCGGAGCCAGAACTCACAATCGCATATTTTGTATGAAGCTAGATGAGGAAGCCCCCGAGTTCTACTACGAGGGGTTATGTGGGAGGCCAAAAAAAGTGGATGATCATCATAGCAAAGGATTCCTACACTGAGGCTTTCAGGCGGCTCTATAGAGAAAATAAAATCGTAGATGTCGGTGTATATTGCCTGCTGCCTCGACGCATCAACATCAATTTACTCGCACTTGTTGAAAAATCGAAGGTACCAGAGGTCCAAAGGCTTTCGGGGCACTGGGAGCGGGTCATTGGTGAAGGAGGGATTTACTTAACTTGAAGCCAAAATATTACTTTTTTATCTATTCTCCTCTTTGTTTTATTCGAAAAAAACCGACGGCTTTTTTGAATGACCGGGATGAGGATGACCTAATATAAGCCTAGCTGAGCACCGTTCACTGCCCCTACCAAGCCGATCTGTGCCTGTTCAGTTTTTTTTCCGGCTAACGTTTTCTTGTGAAAGTGATAGTGTTGTAGATGTTGTCATGCGCTGGCCCGTCACCTGCAGAGCCCGGAGCGCATGCTCGGCGTCTGGCAGAAGTAATATGCTCTACGGTACTTGCCGGCGAACTGTCCTTAATGGCTGCCTTGGTCACGGATCAGTTGGTATCAAGCCATATGAAGCTTAACAGGTATGTTTTGCTGTTTGCTCCAGTTGTTTGTTCATGCTGATGGGGAAAAGAACACTTCTGCATCTTCTTTTTCTTCTGAATTTGTCGATTTATTCATATGCTGTCGAACTTGTCCGTTTTAAGGTCCCGTTTACAACTATACCCTTCGATGCCTGCAATGACGACTTCTTCAGTGGAAAAACCATCCCCATTTCTACGAAAACCTGTAGAAAGGGAGCCACGCGTTAAAAGAACCATTAAAGTTGAATGCTCTAACATTTTATAGTTCAGCGCATTTCTCTTCGCCTTTTTCCACTTCTATCTAG